TGTCTCTTATACACATCTAGATGTGTATAAGAGACAGCTATTTCTATTTTGTTCTTTTTTTTTTTTTTTTTTTTTTTTTGAAGAAATGATGTGAAGTACTAATCTTCTTCTTCTTCTGCTTCTTCTTAAAAAAAAGAAAAGAAAAGGGGCAAGTAAAGTAGTAATCGACAATTTGTTACTGCAAAAGGTCTTGACATAGCCTTGTGAATGCAAAATTGCATTAATTTGTACCTTATTTTCTTCTCCTCACAGAAAACATCGATCTCTTAGCCTTTTTGAGGCCAAAGCCGATGCAGACAGACGTTTAACGGTCATAGCAAACGGGAACAACATTTCTAAAGGTTGTCCTTGGTGGCAGAGGCTGGCGATCTCTTCACGTGCGGTGATGGGTCTTATGGTCAGTTGGGGCTCAGCGATTACAGCCAGCGGAAATATCCTGCGAGAGTGGACGGCCTCTCCAACGTGCACGTGATTGCCGTCGCCTGTGGATTGCGGCACACCATCGTCTTAGCAGGTAAAGGTCGTCACGCCTCTTGTCTGCCCGCCCACCCGCCCGGCCGCCCGCCCCCCCCGCCCGCCCGAGCAACCTCTTCTCTCGGCTCATCGAATAGTGTAAAGCAAATGATCAACCCATTATGTAAAGTCATAGCAGTTCCTTAAACTTCCTTTGGATTAAAAAAAATGAATAAAAAAAAGAAAGAGAAAAAGTCCTAGTGTCAGTTTGCCCTTAGGTATTAATTTTGATGGCTTGATCCCAGTGTTGAGCACCTTTCGGTTTGTCAGTCTGTATCTTGTTGACTCAGAGAAAATTGTTCATGTGGACTCGTTCTCTGACGTCAGGACGATCTGGTTGGTTGGCCTATGATGTCTCTGCTTCACAGAGAGAGAAGCAGGGGGTGATGACGGTACCGCGAGTACGCGAGGGAGTATGGTGCAGAAGAGGCGGGAAACTGTCGTCTATGCTTTTGGCTCTAGTAAGCGCGGTCAGCTTGGAATCGGCCGCTCTGCAATGGGAGATGAGATAAGGAGGGTGTCCACGGGGAGTGTGAGGTTTGGAAGCATGGATAGAAGTTCGACGTGGGGTAAAGATGAAAATGAACAACGGAGGAGATCGGAGGAAACATTGACGACAAGTATGGATGGACAAGGGAGGATCTGGAGAAGAGGGATGCCTGCAAAGGGAAGGTCGCCGCTTGACATCAAATCTGCGGCGCGGGCCCGAGGCCGCGTGGCCGATCCGGAACAAGTTGGCACTTTCGGCGGAAAGAGAATCCACATGATTGCAGCAGGAGGCGACCACAGCGCGGCTGTCACAGGTACGCTGTAGGGAGATGGGGTATTTATTATTTACTATTTAGCTGATGGGGTGAAATTTGTGAAGTGGGAGGAAAAAAAAGGAGACATGTGGAGCATGGGGTTACGCCTGACCCGTACACCAGACCAATGGAGACATCCGGCCGGACCTCTGTCTGGACCATACATGCAGCGCATCACGTACACGCGAGTTGCGCACCTGCACGCACGTGATGCCGCGCAAGTACGGAAAATAGGGTCGATTAAAAAATTCGGAAAGGGCAGGCTGTGGTAGCCAAATGTGCCCCGCCCTTCTGAAAATTGTAAGTGCACAGCTGGGTAGCACCCTGTACGCGTACGTATTCCGGCGTACACGTACATACCGAAAATCGCACGTACGGGTACGTAGATTAAAAAAAAAATTTGGAAAAAACGTATGTTGTGCAGAACAAGAATACAAAGTATTACAAACAACGTTTGCCTGGGAGTCATCCCCGAATTCCCTACCAAGCTCGAGTTAAAAATAAAAAACCTTTAAAAGAATAAAAATCGTGGTTGCCCCGACACGGACACCCGGACAACCGGACATCAGCACACATGACATGAACACAGACACACACGGGTTTGTGGGACTGGTCCAACATGCTAATAACAATTGGAAATATTAACGTACGAACTTTAACAAAGATCGGAACTTCGAATCTTGAACCGCCACACATGACACAAACACACACACACACACAGAGCAAAGTTCCACACCCGCTCCAGCCCCCAAGTATCCCGCCTCAGTCTGTCGACTCTGATTGTTTGCGTTTCTTGCGGCAAGACGGCAACCTCGTCGGCGGCAATCTCCTGGACTCCTGGGCGATGGAGGAGCTCGAGCTGGCGATGGCGTGGCTGCAGCGGACACGGACTTTGAGGAGAGCGCTGTTACACCAGGCGGAGTGCCGCTGCACGAGGCGCTTCGTTCGAAAATGAGGTCCTCCTGCCGGCGGGAAACCAGCACCAGGATACTGCAGCTGCTACTGCCCTCCGAAGTTCTCCAACAGTGGGCCCTTCAGGGCTGGTCCGGTGGGGGTGACGGTCGACAAAAAAGGACAGCAACAATTTTCTGGGGTACCCCAGGCCCAGGAAAATGGCCTGGGGACCCCAATTTTTTTTTTTGAATTTCTTGAAATGAGGGTCCAACCGGACCCACCAAACCGGACACCGGACTCGGACCGGACACCAGACTGTCTGGATCGGGATCCGGACGTCCGGTTGGCAACCATGATTAAGAAAAAAAGAAAAACTTAAAAACTAGGCTGTTTTTCCGGGCGCTCGGGCACTCAACTTTTGCCCTGGTACACGCCCGGTGCCCAGCCGGGCATGACCCCCGGGCAGGGTTCCGGGAAGCACCAGCGCCGTCCAGGCAAGTGGACCCGGGCCACTCTGGTAGCCTAACTTTAGCCCCTACCCCCCTCCCTCCCCTTTTGACAGCCAGCTCGCAAAAAAGAAATGGGCCCGGATTTGGGGTCCTCGGGGAGGGCGCAGAAAACCAGTGTTGTCACGCGGGGATCCCCGGGGCCCAAGCCGGGGTGGGGGTTTC